ATAAAAAAACTCTAGAGCATGACAATGCGATGTTAGAAACTAGTGCTCCAATGCTAAAGAGTAGCACCCAACACTTATAGAAAAAGTAAAGCCACACTAGAACACCTAAAATAAGGATTTAGAGTCACAAAAAGTAGTCATTGAACCCATCGTTGTCATGCCCAATATCAATGCCCCATTGTCACATTAGTAGGTAATAGATGCTCACAACTAACAACAATAAGTTTGATAGCTTATGCATGATATTTGTATGTGATAATAAATATCATCTAACTTCATAATGTAGTATCAAGCTCTACGATGATCTGTGAAGAAATAATAGTTTTGGTGTATTTTCGTTTGAGCTAATTTTTTATTCAATTTTATGATTTAGTTGAAGTTAGTTATATTTGGTTTCATCTTAGGTTAGCTAATTTTATCTTTTTTTCAGTTAGATTTTAGTTTTAGATTAAATTAGGGTTAACTCAAATTTTAGTTTAGATAGGGTTCAAGTTATAAGTGATCTGAGTTCAATAGTATATGTTATATGATATGCAAATGAGTAGTATACAAGGAAAGATTGAACAGTTAGAAGAAATTAAGCAAAGTAATTAATTGATTCCCCAACACTCAAAGAAACAAGTAGGTACTAAAAAAAGAGCACTGAAATGCAGGTGTCATAGCTCCCGAAGTAGGCATTTACCAATAAAAAAACTCTAGAGCATGACAATGCGATGTTAGAAACTAGTGCTCCAATGCTAAAGAGTAGCACCCAACACTTATAGAAAAAGTAAAGCCACACTAGAACACCTAAAATAAGGATTTAGAGTCACAAAAAGTAGTCATTGAACCCATCGTTGTCATGCCCAATATCAATGCCCCATTGTCACATTAGTAGGTAATAGATGCTCACAACTAACAACAATAAGTTTGATAGTTTATGCATGGTCTTTGTATGTGATAATAAATATCATCTAACTTCATAATGAAGTATCAAGCTCTACAATGATCTGTGAAGAAATAATAGTTTCAGTGTATTTTTGTTTAAGCTAATTTTTTATTCAATTTTATGGTTTAGTTGAAGTTAGTTATATTTGGTTTCGTCTTAGGTTAGCTAATTTTATCTTTTTTTCAGTTAGATTTTAGTTTTAGGTTAAATTAGGGTTGACTCAAATTTTAGTTTAGATAGGGTTCAAGTTATAAGTTATCTGAGTTCAATTCAGTTATCTAGTGACACTAGAAGAGAGATCCTATATTCCAATAAGATTGGATATAAGTGAGCAAAAATACCTGACAAAATAGAGACCAATAAAAGCATGTACTTAGTTGCATGGAGTGTGTGTGAGGCTTGGGGGAGACGAGTGAGAGTGCTAGGTGAGGACTTAGAGTGTGTGAGAGTGTGAGTTTTATATTTATTATAAAAGTGCGAGAGTAACTCAAGTGGAGGAAAATGAGGATTGATTTGGAGTGAGATAAGTTTTGATATAGTGTTTACTTTCTTTTTTTTCTTTGTATGTCTTATTTATTATCAATGAATTCTCTTTTATTTTATTCATAAATGATTAGGAACTAAGTTTTATTGTGTATTTAAATTAGTGTTGCGAAATTCTTGTTTAAACGATATGAAATACTTGAAGCAACTGTATGTCATATTGATGCGTTAACTTTTAATAGTTATTTTACTTTTTTGTTGGCCACTTAAAATGTTGAAATTCATTGTGATCTAAGATCGTCAGAATAAGGCTTAAAGATACATTACATTAACTCATAATTTCTTGGTGGTATATGAATATTTTCACTAAGCGATTGTAAAAATGTATGAGAATGAAGGTTCTTGTGAGTCTTTACAAGGTTAAGAGGACTTATAATATGGCATTCTAATATTTCTTATGTCTCAGAAGAGATAAGGAGTAATTATCCCTGGTCTTCAACAACAACTAGGAGAATATAATGGATGGATATGTAATCTTCATATAATCCTACTCGAAGAAGATTCTCTTATCTTATCTAAAACAATAATCCTTGGCCTTTATTTTAAAATCTTAGGATTTTTAGAAAAATATTAAAAAAATTAAAATTTTTGGATTAAATTGAAAGTTAGTACACTAATAATTAAATTAATTTGGAAAGTAACAAAGTTTCTCGTGGAATCAATAACTTAAACTCGTAATACAAATATTACTTGATAAATAAGTATATTTGCATGATTAACACTTACATTACAACAAAATGAATTATGATTTTGATAGTGTTGTTGAGGAACGTTACTAATTTTTAAGCTAAGAATATTGTTAGTTGAGAGTTTGAAGTTTATGTTTGAAAATAGTAGTTCAATACATTTTTTTATGTTTTATTTTGTATCGTCACTTATTTTTAAGTCGTGTTGAATTGTTGTATGTTGTTATTATGAAAACAAAACATTTATAAAAATTGGGAATAGTGCTTCATTTATAATTTGCGAGTTTTAAGTTGCATTATGTTTTTTTATTGTACTCTATTGTTTTAATTGTTAGTTATTGTCAATAGTTAGTCTTAAGGTGTCTGAGTATGACTAACTGGTGAAATTATCCCGTTTGACCCCTAAAATAGAGGAACTACTAAGAAAATAGAAAAATTATAAAAATAACGAAGATTTTCGGAGGGATGATCAACACTAATGAAGAAGATATTCAACTTAGATCACTTAGGACTCTTAACAACCCTATTGCAAATTAAATTTATCATAGCATTAATAGCCTTATCATTTAAGCCAACATTTTTGAACATGAACATATATAATATAAATGATTCAAAATAATCAATTTGGAGGTTCACTAACATAAGATATAAATTTACATATAACTAGTTTCGTAGAGTTATGTGCGACCTTTAGATATAATAATGTCTCAAATGATATCATTAGGCTTATTTTATCACCCTTTTCTCTTAGAGATAAAACTAAAATTGTGGCTTAATGAAACGATGACATTAAAAATGAGCTAACAACGATGCCAACTGTGTCTAAACTTGGTAAATGAGATGATCACCCACAAAGGGGGCAAGTAAACCACCATAATGAGCACTTCTTTAGAGTCAATTTTAGTGTATCCTTTATGCTAAGCAGAGAGATTGCAACTTTGAAAGGGATGAAATGGTCTAATGGACCCATTTTTCATTTAAATGAATCCAAATATTGGCCTTCGAAATGTGCAGAAGGCTTCACTTCAATTATTTCACTCAAGTAGCATCTTCATCTTCTTCTTTTGGGTTTAAAGGTAGTGCTATAGAAAGTTTGGGCAGATGTACGCTCAAAACAAAATTAGATGATCCACCGGGTAATACCACTTGGGGAGTCATTCTCAAAAGTGTGCTCCATTGCCATTTTTTTATCATCTTAACTATTTTTTTCTAAAAAATGGAAAGCCATTGTGCTTTAAATTCTTTGGTATTCTCTATATTATTGAAGTTTCATTATCACAATGATTATCATCTTGAAATGCTTATATTTTAGTTTATGGCGGACATGTCCATGCTCTCCACACTAGAAATGTTATTTGACCTAAATTAGTCCACGTGTATTTAGAATAGAGGGAGAGAGTGTAATGAAGGGTAAAAGAATTATCGATGTGGGGATGTCCTAATTTAATACATACATGAAAATAAAATAATAATATAAAATATATATATTCCATCATAATGTGTTTTGAGGTTTATGTGGCACTACAATGATCCTAATGGATAAAGTGATATTATGACACACCTTGTAGTCGTGGCTTGATAAACTCGAGCTCAGGCTGGTGGCTCGATAGGTTCGACTTCTGGGCAACTTTTTTTTTTGCCTTTTTCTTTACATTTTTTTTTAATATAATTAACTCAGACCCAATATGCGGTCCAAACGAACCCCAAACTCACAACAAATGTGGGCCACATGCAGCAGGACAAATAATCATGATGGGCCCACAAACATAGCAACTAGTACACAAGACAAGCGATTTAAGCCTCTTACATTCACAAGCAATCGTGAGAATTTATTAATTATTTCTCTTATTTTTTTTTATATATCTTCTCTATTTTAATGGGGCTTATTTCTCTTTTATATATATATATATTCTTTATTTTAAAGGCCCCATTCATTCTCATCCACACCCTATGTAAATAGGGAAAAATATTACATCAGGACTCATAATGTATTCGGAGTCCAATGGTGGGGCGTCACGTGTCAGTAGCTCCACCGATCAATCTCAATGTATTATGATGGGGCCCACTTGACACGTGACACCCCATCATTGGACTCCTAACGCACGCAAACTGCGTTAGGAATTCTGATGTAATATTTTCTCATGTAAATACGGGCTCCACGGATTAAAAAATGAAAAATGCATTTTTTAATTGTAGATACTATTTGCATCAATAAGTTCAGCGTCATTGGTTAGATTTTTCCCTCTCATTCCATACTTTATGTAAAAATTTATTCTTCTTGAATTTACATTTCTAATATTTAAAATTTGTTGCTTAGATACATAACACTTAAATTTATAACATTTCATAAGGACTAAAACACAAATTTTAATAATCATATAAAAATATCACAAATATTAATCTTCTAAAAATGAAGCACACTTTTTAATGCATAAGAAGACAATACTTGAATGTTATAAATTTAAATATTGAACTTTTAATGTACATATGTAATCCTTAAGAACTATTTAGTAGTCATTGGCTATAAAAGACTTGTGTAATGCATGTAAATTTGTGACATTAAAATGTAATGAAATATATAAATATTGAATTTTAAGTTTAGATATATAAATATTTAAAAATTGTATGGCATGAATGTTAAAATTTTCAAATAAAAAAAAAAAGAATATTGAAATGTATTTACTAATCCATATTGTATTACTCTGTATGTTATCACGAGCCTTCCCCCAACGCCAAAGTTTTAGAAGAGAATATAATGTTAAGAGTCTGCATGCATGCGGACTTTATGTACAACGTTATAAACCGCACATAACAAATTTTTCAAGCTTTAGATAATAGCCCCCCAATGGTTAACATTTCAAAAATGAAATTTAGTTTTTCATACAAAAACAAGTTGGCAAATTGGCAAGTTTGAACATTAAAATAAGAAAATTAAATATGTAAATAAATAAGATTTGAGAGATATGTATGAGAAACATGATAGAGGAGACAATTTCATACTCTGAGGAGATAAACACACAGCTCAGGCCCGGCATGACCATCAGGACTCATCATATAGAAAGCCTCGGAGTCCCCAGAACCCACCACCCTCTCAAACATTGCCCTCATGTACATCACCTCATCCCCCTCCTCTCCACACCCCGCGGCGCCTGCCGGCAGCACGCCGGCTCCCACGCTTACCGGCTCCACCGCACGCAGCACCTTCCAATCCTCCGGCCTGCACTCCCTCCGGACAGCATACCCGCACCGCAGCCCGTTGCAGTAAACTCTCCACATCGGCTCATCCATCAGCCTCCCCGCTCCACCACGGTCGCATTCCAGGGCGATCCTCATGAGTCCGGACGTCGCCATCTCTCTGACCAACTCATTGGTTGGTGTCTGCAGCTCCAGGAGAGCTGCAGGCTGCATCTGAGCTTCTAGCTGGAAGGAAAGATGAAGGTGTCCCCTTCGCCGCCCGTATAGAGTGCCGAAGACTCTTGGAGGCCGCACCTGGTGTCTTGTAACTGCGGCGGCCAGCGCGGAGCGGAACCTGGATACTGCAATAGCTGCCAAGAAAATTGCTTTCTTCTTTGGAGCTGAAGCGTTGGAAGTTTTGGTGGTGGAATGGTGGCGCTTGTGGTTCATGGCCTGCTCCTCACCTGTTGTTTGATGAGAGAATGAAGTGACGAGGTTAGAGTTTTAGAGAGATGGAAAGAGTTGAGATCCTAATTGGCTGCATTAATCTTCATGGTCACTGGCCATTGTTGTCACTTGTCAGCCACTGGGATGGCAGCAGAATCCGGACAAGTGGGAGGGGGGGAAGCAGGGGCAGACCCACAGCCGTTGAGGAAATTAATGCACGCACTCTGAGAGAGAGATTTAGAAAAGAGATGATGAAAAGGAGAGGACACCATTGGTGAGGCCACCGTGATGAGAGGTCGAGGCCCGTAAAACGAGACGATGATGTGGAACTTCGCTCGTCCATCATCTCTCATTCATGATCGCGCTGGGATCTAATATTTTCTCCATTAAAAATGGGGAGAGAAGAATGACAGCAAGACTAGTTGTGGGGCTAAAGGCATATAAGGCCTGCAATGGTGACTGTAGCAGAGCAGCCAGGGGTGAATTGAGGATAGAGGAAAGGATGACGTGGACAGAACTCAGGCATTATCATGCTTTTATTCACATGCTTGAGAGATAGTGTGTGTGTATATATATATATATATATATTCAAAAGGACCTCATGTGCCTAAGAATTCGAGTATCACACGCTACATTTCAGGGGTTCAAACCCCATGACAGAGAAGACTTACAACTAACAAACAGATGAAATATATACATATATATATATATATATATATATGAAAGTTATTGAGTTATGCAGCATGAGATAAACTATTATTATCCGCATTCATATTTTTATTTAATTATTTTTAATGCGATTTTGATAGTTTATTTAACAAAATTGTAAGCAAACTTAAATCTGCAATAATTAAGAAATTTGTTATTGCTTAAATTTTAATATATTATCTAATTGATTGTATTGGTTGCATTGATATAACAAAAAAGAAATTTTCATCAGATATTTTGTGTTGTATATATAATTTTATATAATTTAATGATTATTATGAAGCCAACAAAAATAGCCATAAAAAAGGAAAAGCTTCTAAATATTATTGTCAATAGACATAAATTTATGTTTTGGTGTTCATATTATCATAAGATAATCAAGTAATGCATGTAGTATTTAACTCTGAAAGATTTATAATATGTTTTTTTAGCTTGCCAGACTATAACATTTTTTACAGAGGTTTACAGATCAAATTTAACTGCGGCTAGTTAAGCTTTTCGTACTTGGATATGATTTATTCCAATAATTTTTGCGTTACTGATGAATCATCTCTAGAAGCACACATTACTCTTTAATTTATTGGGGTTATTTTCATGAGAAATTATGAAGTATTTCAGCTTAATGTAGCCATGGGATGCTTAGCTTTATGCTCTAACAGAATAGTTTGCAACTGCATCTATTAGTCTTTTGGAAGGCTATTCCTAAGTCTCAACCACCAAATATATTTAAACATGGTCTTGGAGTAGTTAGTTTTATTGAAATTGTGATTGTTTAGTTTTTTGTTCTGACTTTGTTGTTGTAGTACTTTGCAACATTCTTTGCAATGAATTTCATGCATATCAAGTTGGATTTAGACAAAATATATTCAGTGTTTCTCGTTCTGTGCCTAACGAAATATTTTCAAGCATGGCAACTGCGTTTTTTATTGATGTTCTCTTACTACCACTAGCTGTCATTCAAAAGTGATCATTCCAATATAAGAATGTTATAACAATTAACTATAAATGTGAGATTATGTTGTTCTGTATGTGAGGGGGATCATGATAGATTGGATGAATTATGGGCTAAACTAGTTTGCCTTATTCTTGATGTATTATTTTACATACTACGCTTTTTTTGGCTGAAAGCAAGATTTAACTTGAATAAGATTTAGTAAATCTTGTAAATTATGATTCACCAACTCCGTCAAATTGCCGGATTTAATAAATCTGGATTTACAGGAGTTGAATCTTTTCGGGATGTGAGATCCTGTATAATTCGAGAACTCATACAATTCCGGTAAGACCTTGTGGAAGAAGTAGGAAGAAATTGAATGGTTTCTTCAGAGATAGATAATCAAAGAGCCTTTTGAGGGTCCAGAATCGTCAGTTATATCTCCCTCTTCCTTTTTTTCTATTATTTATCTGTTATATAGTATGTGTACCCACACGGGGTTCTAAGAAAAGAAATATAAAATTAGGTTATAGGTCATATAGTACGAAGCTTGAGTAGACTCATTGTCGACAAGGCCGCTGATGTGGATTATCATGTTGTTAATAAATGACGGAATGTATGGTGATAGACTGGAGTTTTCTTCCTTTTGTCTCAAGAACTGCCTATCGAGCTTGATAGTATAGCAAAGCGGCTGTCAAAGAGCTTGGTAGGAAGATCTAACTAGTCCATGCGAGTTTGGAGAGCTTGGGCAGTATGAGCGAGTTCGACTGGAAGAACTCGCTTGAAGACTATGGCTTGATAAACTCATTCTGAGGAACTCGTAGGAACGCTGACGTGCTTCAAAGATACTTGTGGGGTCCTTCTGGGCAGCAAGAAGCTTTGTAGTTTGTCACTTACAAATGTGTGACTAACGAGTACGATTGGTCCGGTCAGCATCAAATCATTAAATGCATGACTGGTGCGCTCGCTCCATTAAGCCCATGAGACCTGTTTAGTATTTGGACTTTCGTGTTGCTTAAAGAAACTCGTTTTTGGATGTACAATAAGCAAAACGAGAAAAAATTCGGATTTAATTGTTACTGGATTTAACATGCACATATTTAACTGTTTGGTCCAGCATAAATCCCATTAAATATGTGCCACCAAACAGCCCCTTAAGATTTCAACTCTCTCTTGCTCTCATTCTCTCTCTATCACCGTACGAGGATCTGCTTCTTATGGGCTTCTCACCTTTTCCTCCTCCTATCACACACTCATCCTACCTTAAAGAAGCCTAAGTACGGTCATTCCTTTTCCTACCTAATCGTTGCTCTGCTCTCTTCCTAATCCCACAAAAACTCAGCCTAATTCTTCATCTTCACTATCCCATTCAAGTTCTAAGCCGACTTTGCAAACCTTGGAAATCAATGCAGTCCTTTTGCATTATTTTAGTCCTTTATTCAGACAATTTATTATACAAGAATATTGATGGTTAAACTTACTGCTTATATGACATCTTTATTTTTTGCTTGTATTTAGACATTTTATCTTCATTGGTTGCAAGTTATTTTGGCCGGATAACAAAGAGAAAAATGACCTTATAAGAATGCGCTGTATGATTAGATGTAATTGATCTAATAATAAAGCTAAGATGCAAATTGATTTAGTGCTAGCTAAGATGATACAGGAACTAGTTAAATGCTTTACTGTTGCTTAAGAAAATGTAACTGTGAACAAAATCTTAACTTCGTGCTTTCTTCTGAATGATTTGATAAGTTATTTTTTTGCATGCATGTATCTGGATAATTTTATAAGTTGTATGTATGTGAACAGTTCAAAATTTGACACTCAAATTTTTTTGCAAGAAACAAAGAAGTTACATTAGTTATGAACCATAAGGACAAGAGAATATTATAATAACACCCAAATTTAAATATGTAATGGCCAAACTTGACTATTTATTAATCCAACAAACCTAACGCTGAAAAATGGAGGCAAAAAAATTTGAAGCATCCTGAAGAATGCTAAAATTAAGGAAATATAGAAAGCACAATAAGTTTACAACTATCACAGCAAGAGCTTAGATGTACTTCAACTACAACAATATAATAGCACCAATATATATATATATATATATATATAGACATACATATGTGTGCGTGCCCGCGTGTGTGTGTGCACGTGGTGCTGTCTGAGAGCAGAAAAATAATAAATCAAACCAAATTTACAATTATATGAAAGAGTTCGGGATCACGTCCAAAGGTTCAAATCTACAGTTAGAACGCAAATGATAAAAACAAATAACAAAATTAGATAATTTTTTAATCCAAGTTTCAGCCTTTAAAATTACACATAATTAGTTCCTTCTATAAACTCTAAAAAGGTTAAGCATGTAATATAAGGGAGGGCTAAACAGCATGGAAATGGAGATAATTATCAGAAAATCAACTTGTAGCTGATTGATTTCATTGTTTTTTATCTTTTTTTTCTTCCTTTCTCTTTCTTCTTCCCCTATTTATTCAACAATAAGTCTGAACGTGAAGAGCATTACTCTCACCTTAATTGAGCACATGCATGAACCGTAATGGTGAGTTTATGCTCGAGATAAGTTCACACACCCTTGGAACTAATAATTATAGGTAAGTGAGAGGTTTTGCTCAAGTTTGTTGGTGAGCTGCCGAGATCCTTCAAAGTCCTGGTTCATGTTCGCTTGGTAAAGATGATAAGGCCCATGTAAGTCCACAATGCTTTAGGAAAATAGTCTAGTCTTGAAGGAATTCAACCCACTTGGGGTACTTAACATTTGATTTGGGTTGGTGCTGTAGATACTGAAATATTTGATGATCTAAATATATAAAAAATTCCTTTGATCAAGATGATTTCTTTTGTAACAAGATGCTTGAATAACCACATAAAATTGGTGCTCATAGTTAAAAGTATACTTTTTTAGTCCATTCGATATTTTTATTATGTACCACTTTGATGTTAATACTAACGGAATTGCATGTAACCTCAAACACTTTACTGAAGTTGTCTAACCGTAGTATAGGAATTTGGTTGTGATATGACTCAGGAGCTTGTATGAATCAAGGCGGGAATGAATGTCTTTGAAGTAACGGGGTGAACGGTTACATTGTTACAAAAACATTGCATGCTTACTGGCAGAACGATTGCATATGGACAAGTAAAAACTTCTCATATGCGTCACATTGTAAAAATTTTATATGACAATTTACAACCACATATAGTTATTTAAAAATGATAATTTATAACCATATATATATATAATTTTCTTAGGTAAGAACCATAACAATTAGAGCATAGAATAGTATATCTAAATAAAAAGTGTCAAAACTACACTATACATCTATTATAGTTACATCTGTACCTAACTAAAGGTGCTACTCATGGGCAACACAATTTTAATGCAAAATCCTCTGTATGACTCATCTACTACATGCAAGGCTTTTCTTAACAAATGGTCCTCCACTAACGAGGATTATATAAATATATATCAGATGCACCACAATTTAAGGAAAAAGGGGTCAAAATTTTCCCATGACTATTTGTATGAGGCCAATTTAGCCTTATATTATCTGATTTGTTTATTTTGGCCACTTGAATCCACAAATGTGATCCAAAGTAGTCCCTTTGTTGGAATTTATTTGGAACATATTTAATAAATCAAAAGATTATTTTGCATTTGATTTATAGATTCAATGGACGAATTGTCATATTAGATAGTCTGGGATTAAAACGACCTCTTCCATGACTATTTTGACCTTTTTTTCTCTAATTTTAAACAATAATGAATTTAATTGCAAAAGAAGCAATATGCTTGTTGAACAATAAAACTTGTGCAAATTTATAAATAAACATGATGTTTTGAGTAATAATTACTATTATGGCAAGTACGCTATAGTACTTATAATAGTTGACATAAGGTTACATTCTTTTGGAGAATGTAATTGCAAGAATCCTTCAGGTAGATTTCAAACTCAAAATTCAAAAAGAGAAAAGAAAGAGAATATTGGGAAACAAACTTTATTTTCAGTCATTTTATCACCATACAATATACATAAATACCCTTACTAAGGGTCCGTTTGGGGCGGCTTTTCGCCAGCAACGCGGCCCCAGGTCGCTATTCTTCGCCGTTTGCGGCAGCATTTTCACTACGGCGTGGCCGCAGTTGAATAAAACGCACCTCCTTTCATTTATGCACATGTCCCTTGGATTCAACCCCGCGTTCGTCGTCTGCCCTTTCCTTCCCCGCGGAGCTCTAGCTTTCTATGCCCTAACCCGTCGTTTCGGAGGCCAACTTCTTCTGGTATCCCCTTTCCCTATATTCTCTAGGTAGTTTTGCACATAATCTTTCAAATTTTTATATTCCTCGTGGATTTGCACCGTTTGGATTTCTTCTGTGGTGTTTCTCTGTTTCGTGTTTCTGTTTGGTGATGGTGCTTCTGTTTCTTGTGGTAGATTTTGGCTGTGGTGTTTCTGTTTGTTGTTAGTGCTTCTGTATGTTGTGAATTTGAGCAGAAGAAGAGACCTTTTGGGGTGTGTGTTTCTGTTTGTTGTGTATTGGAGAGTCGGGGTGTCTTTGGTGTTAGTGTTTCTGTTTGTTGTTGATTGTTTGAGTTTTTTACTCTATTAGTAGTTTTTTTTTTCCCCATTTGCATTTCATTTGTTTTTCTTTTGGATGGTTTGAGAGGTCCATGATAAGATGTTTGACTTTATGGGTTCTTCTAGATGCTTTATTAATGTTGTTGGTTGGTATCACATATGAATCCTAATAAAAACAACCAAATTCTTATCTTATTTTCGGTGATATGGTTTTTAAAGATTTTCTGGATGACCTTTATTTGATGATATGCATATGTGACACACACGAACTTCGTTTTATGTGGATTAAAGACGACCAAGAACCTTTTTTTTACAAAATTTGTTGTATTCTTGTTGTGACAAATTCGTTGGTTGGTATATTGAGTTATTTGAGACCTCACGCTTGCATAAAATTGTAATTTATTACTTTTTTTCATAATTTAAACTTGTGTTATGACTAATAGATTGTCTTTTGTAGTATTCAGGAAAGATGAGCTCCAGAATTTCATGGACTTCTCGACAATTGCTCTGCCACTGCGAACTTCAGACTTCCCTACTTACGTCACGTCAGGCGCATAATTATAAGAGGATGTTTTACAGGTGCCCGCGGTGGGAAGACAGTCCGGAGAAGTGTAAGTTCTTCCGATGGCCGACAGTCCGGTAGATTCTACTACCGACAATGATCAGGAATGGATAACATCTTTGGAGAACGACATAGCTCGTGTCGTACGCCGTCTGCATTATAAAATCAAGATTGTCATATTATTAATTGTAAATATAATAGTTTTTTTTAGCACATTTGATACTCACTGTTACGTGAGTTGTTTATCTAGTTTGTACCGTTCTGAAGTGAATTTTGCTTTTGAAGTATTAAATATATGGCTAGGAGAGTTATGTTACAAAAAGCATTATTAAATAGGGGAAGAATGATCATTTGTCCAGTAACGGTTGTCGCATAGCTGTTTTTAACCTGCAGAAAACAAACAACCAGCCAGCTTATCCGCAGCAGCTTCACCACAACAGCTTCCTGAGGTAGCTAAGCTGCAGTGGCCCCAAACAAAACCCTAAGTTTTGTACTCCCTATTACAAGAATTATAAAACAAAATAGTTATATCCGTACTAGTGTCAGCTCAGTAGTCTCATTCTAATATAATTGTCGAAACATTCTTGTTCAAAAATTGAAATCCATAAGCCAATCATGATCATTCTTATTTCTTTGAGGGTGTTCCCTTCGGCTCTCTGTTACAGCACCCTTCTCCATTCGCTTGTCTTCCATCTCTAGCCATCTTGCATTCTGATCTAATTCACACCTTGACTTAGCAGTATAGGAAATATCATAACAGCTCGTTCCTCAAAATGAATATTGCCCACAAGGTTAAGGTTAGGACATAAGAGTTAGAGAAGTAAAAAGCTCTCAAGTTGCCTCTATTTTGTCTAAATTTGTCCACTAAACCAAGACTTGAAATTGTTTATGGCATCCATACTTCGTTTAACGGGCAACCAAAAAAGCATTTGAAAACAAAAGTTGTTGGTTTTTCCATCTTAGAAGAGGTAAAATGTGGAAAATAACCAATCCATCATTCTTAAAATGTTTTAAATTGAAATATTAAATATTGAATGAATATGGCTTACAATTGATAATTGTACTTTATAAGCTACCGGACTTATTGCTTGCATGATGCAAAAAAACCCATAGAACATTTCGGCTAACTTTTGAGTGGAGCGAGGTAGTTGCAGTCAAGTTCGAGTTTTGTCGATATGATCTTAATTTATAGACAACTAGGTCACATTTATTAAATTGAATATTTTTCCAATTTTATCCACAATAGATTTCATATGATCTTAAGTTGGTTGAATGTTTTATTTTAATAGCCTTAACAATACTCATTTGTCCCTGAGCTCTCCAACAACATAAGAAAATAAAAGGGGGAAGTCTACAATATAAACCTTGAAATGGTGTTATTTTAATAGCTGAGTGGTAGCTAGTATCGTAGCATAGTTCAATCCAGCCTATATAAACCGACCATAATTTAAATTTTACTGAAGTATAGGCCCTTAAATACTGCTTCAGCTGATGATTTAACACCTCCATTTGTACATCTGATTGTGGATAATATGCTATACTATGGTGCAATTTTTGTGCCACAGACGGGAAATATGTCTCCAAAAGCTACTGAGAAATCTAGCATCTCCATCCAACACAATAGCTCAAAGAAAGCCATATAAACGGACAACCATTTCAATGAACAAATCAAAAACCAATTTACAGTGTATGAAGTTTACACAAATCTCAAATGAAGCATTAGGTTTAAGTAAATTGGTTACAAATCTCAAATGAAGCATTAGGTTTAAGTAAATTTGTTAAAGATGCAGCAATAGAATCATACTTTGCAATGAAACGACATAAATAACTTATCAAACTGCGAAATTCTTTCAATTGCGAATAGATGATGGTGTTGGCCATTGTTGTATAGCCAAGATTTTGTTTGGATAAGTCATGACAGCATTCGCTTTACTCACATGGCCAAGGAATCTCAACTTATCTTGAAAAAAACAGCACTTGCTAATAATCAATTGATTATTGAGAAGGAATTGAAAAACCTTTCTCCAAAAAATTTATAGCATCTAAGTCGGAGTTCTCTAGCAAGGTCGGTGTGCGAGCAATCAAGGGACATGCCCGACTATCGTTTGCGTGCACGGGATTAAAAATAACATGAGTAGATCGGATAATCAAAATCAGCGACCAAACACGCTTAAAGATAATATTTAAAGCATAAAAAATCACCTCACTTGCCATGCATTTTGCCCCTTGTTCTCATGAACATTATGTGCTTACAGCGACGGCGAACAAACCTCGTGGCGGAGCTAGGACTTTGAGGTTAGGGCAGCGAGGTACTAGAAAAACAAGAGACACAAGCGGCGTCTGGCGACCTGGTGAGGTAGCTGGAATGCGAACTCGGCTTTGAACGGTGGAGCGCACACAAGATCGCTCGCTGCAGCTACAGCAGCAGGAGTTCCGCAGGTGGTTGCTCGCGGTGGGGACGCGGCGCCTTGCACGAAAGGGAAAGGAGCAAAATATGCGCCGGAGTTAAGGCCCGCTGGGCCGCGGGTTAGCCGACGTCCACCTACGATGCACAGGCATAGTGGGGGGTACGGCCATGTGTGCTATATCTCCACTTAAGTATAACACGAGGTTATGACTAACCACCAATGATATTTAGGGTGCTACCGAGAGATTATTAGAGATTATTAAGAGATTATTTTATAACACGAGGTTATGACTAACCACCAATGATATTGAGATTATTAGAGATTATTAAGAGATTATTTGGGTATTAACTCTAATAATGCTGTAATAATCTTCAATAACCTCCGCAATTCAACTCCAATAATCTCTTCAATAACTCCTCATTAACCCAAATAACCTCCAAATAACCCCCTAATAAACTCAGCAGTTCCACTTTAATAACCCCCAATAATTTTTATGATTCCACTTCAATAACTCCTTGCATTAATCCATCAATAACCTTCAATCACCTCTATGTTCTTACTTCAATAACCCCTCAATAACATTTACGATGTAGCACATGTGACGGCATATTATTGGAGTCCATATGTAGAGTTACGTCAGGAGTCCGAAGAGAAACCTTTTTCCACATCAACAGGGTGTGAGGATTAGTTGTTTTATTTATTTTATTTTTTTTATAATCACATTTAATTTTTTTAATTATTTAAATACATCCACTAAAGTCTTATTTATATATCTAGCATATAAAAAGTGAATCTTATGTTAATGATTTAGTCATCAAGAGTAAGGAATGTGAAGACAATGTATATGTCTTGAGAATTATTTTTTAACTTCAGCAGTTTGTATTACAATGCGGTGAGATAGAAATTGACTCGAAGAACATTAAAATAATATCAGAAATGTCATCGCCTAAAAACTTAGTTAAAATTATTCTAAGGAAGGTTGATGTACCTGAAATGCTTTATATCCAACCTTGCTGACAAGTGTAAACCAGAATATAATCACACATGCTTTGAAGTACTGTCGTAAAACATCGAGATCAGGCATCTGAAGGAATAAGAGTAGATTGTTGCAATTACAGCAGCATATTTAGCCACAGGTCTCTTTACATGTTGTGATTCCAGTTTCCTCCTTGAGGGTACAGGGTCCTATTTTTAGAGAAGAGTTCCTTGCTCCAATCTCTAAAATGTCTGAGCAGATCATACAAGAAATCCTCTACTTACCTCCCCCATGATCCTCGTAGTAGGAGACCGGGATATACCTCTCAGTCCACTGTGAGATCTTGTTGGTTGTCATCTGTCGTGCAGGACATGAGACCCATCGAGGTGTTGCATGTGACCCTTGGTGTGGTACTTAGTGCCACCATACTAGATGTTGTGTCAGGTATCATCGATGATCCTGGTTGTGCGGCTTTTGCCCACATTTGATGTGTCCACTCTTTCTGTGAACTATAAGGAAAGTTTTGTGACTTCCTCTTCATTATAAGATGCATTAGTACTATATTGATAAAGGGAGATCTAGGGTACACCCCCCATTGATTCTCACCTTGTTTGAGGACAAAGGTTGATCGTCTGAATTTGACGGATACCATGTGGGTTAGGCAAATTTCTGCCACCACGTTTCTTGATATCCTGACACTCAATTGGGGATGTCACGGGTTTGATCTCTGAGGGTGCTAACTTCCTAATTGATCTTATCTATGAGCCACCTCAAGTGAATCTTGAGCCAGAGCCTAAGGTAGATCCTGGAGATGATGTATCTTTATTACCAATCTTCTCTGATAGATATACTCCTTCAAATGGGTTGTTGCCCAAGAGTTAATGGTTTGTTAAGCCAAGATGTTTAAGGCTATGTGGCGTAATAGTCCCAAAGGAAAATGTTTGGCTTAGGCTACACTAAAAAGCTAAGATAAAGCTAAGAATCCCTGACACTGCATGTGGAATAATTTTTACTTCTAACGGCGAGGGGCTTATTTGCTTTTGCTTTTAAGAGTGTATATTCTACCTCTCTCATTTATTAAGCAAGGCTATAACAGACATCTTATGATTTGATTTCGGTAAATACCCCAAAATTCTCTTGTTGATAATATGTTGTATCGATTAGACCAGCTTGCTAGTTTTGATCGATCCATGTTTAGCAGGGATACACATCTCGCGAGCTATTTAATAGTTTCATGTTTGTTTTAAGCTAGTTTGTCATTTGGCTAAGCTCTTAATGAGGGCATTTCATTGCTACGACCACTCTATGTGTCTAACATATGATTTAGTCAGTATATCTTGAAGAAGGCTAGAATATTGTGCCTCACCTGTATAGAACCATATTGACTTCTTAATTTGTTCTTGGTGAAAGAGCATCATCGCGAGATGGGTCCATCTCCTATATCTAACTGTGATATATTTCGACCTGATAGTTTGTTTAACTCCTCATAGATATTTTGTTTAACCTGGTGCTTTTTATCACCTTGTTAATAATCATATTGAACTAACTAGATCACTGTGCCTCAATAAATCAGTCCATGACTAGTCGGGATACCTCTATATTTAACTTTATCAGTTAGAATCTACATTTCTAACTGTGATATATTTCGACCAAGAGGCGGTGAATTAAGAAGTTTCTTATCCATATACCTCTTGATGTCTCAACTCTAATTATAAAGGCTATTTAGATAGTTCCAACAGGAACCACACCCCTTAATCGATCTTTTCTTGGGTTCGCCTTTGATGATTCTCGAGATTGAATCTAGAATAAATCCTAAGGATGGGCTTGAGCCAGACCATGTATGCACCTTCTTTGGATTTGTAAATACTCATGATCTAGGGGATTTGGATTAAGTCTTGATAAATGAGTCCCTAAGTTTAATGAACTTTTACCTAAGTTCTGAGAATATCTCATAATGACTATATGAGTGTCATTAAAATGTAAGTTGTTTCAGAGACTATTTAGATCTCTTGCTTTTCTATTCGGCTAAACCAAGTGAAGCTTAACAAGTAATGAGTTATAAAATTCTAAGAATCTTTATTTGGGAGAATTTTGAGTCAAAAGAAATTTACTTTATCATAAAAGAATCTCTACTAAATATAGAAATTCTCAAGAAAAATAAAAGTGTAAAATCCAAAAAAATTGCCAACACTCCTACGAAGAATCTTGAGGTGAGTGAGAAATTAGAAATTTCAATATAAAGAATGTGTTGATTTCAAATTCTCTTAATAAGATCCATAGAATATTAAGGTTCAGAGAATTGTTAAGTGACATTGGATAACCGATAAATCAGTAATGGATTTAAGGACATCTCCAAAATGAAAATATTTTCTTAACACCCAGATATGAATGACGAGGCCTACTTAGGCTAAAGATGAAAATAATTAAAGGAAAAGGGGCTTGCGAAGAGTACTAAAAGAAAATCTCACATAGACCTGAATTTCGCATGGTATATCTGATCATGAGTTCAGGATGCCTATATGAGAGCTCCTTATACAAGATTGATTTGGTTTGTCACATCAAATCATTCCCGATAACGGCTTAGTCGGGGGCATAATATATATATATATATATATATATGTATATATAT